CAACTCTGTCACTAGAGCTACTACGACTAAAATTACATTCCATATACTCAATTTTAGATCTACTCAACGAAGGCATTTAGACTCCATTGTAGACCTCCATAATTCAATTTTTTCCTGAACTCTCTCTCGTCTTATCCGCAAGAAGAATAACATCAAAACAATATTCTCAAGACACTTAAATTTACAATTTAGAATGAAACACAGCGCACATGCAGGCATTTTAAACTTGTTTCTTTGAATTGACTTTGGTTAGATTTGCATGTCTTTCAAGACAACTAACATCTTTTGTGGGAATAAAAATTAATTGGAAGATCATTTCACAAAACACATTGTGGGACTTAAAAATTATAAAAACTTGACTAATCTGTACAAACACTCCAATGCATGCAAAATTTCATTTTGAGCTCCTTGAATGATGTTTTTTGTTTGCTTGCAAATTCATGTTGTCAATTTGTTGTCTTGTTAAGACATTTAGTATTTTTATAGTCTGCAATAAATCATTGCATTTTGCTATTATTTAACCTTTAAATCAATGCTCAAATAGACCCCTCATAGCCATAATAACTTGCTTTTAAACAGAATCTCTCAACCACTTTTAAAAACAATTGTAATTCATTGAGAGGTTATGTTCAAGCTCACTAAGCAGGATGTAGAACGGGACAAACGTTCTTCACTGTCAAACTTCACAAGTTCAAATTCAGCACGGGGTTTGATCCATTCATGCTCCTTAGCTAGCTATCAAGTCCCGGTAAGTCTTGCACATGTTCCATCTGTATTCAATTACGCCATTTTTCAAATAATTCTTAAGATAATTTTAAGCATCAATTTATCACCAGTTTACAGTTTATGCTTTCAATTTGATTGTTTAGTCTGATAGGTTCAATTTATTTATTTATTTATTTTAGGCAATATTGAAACAGAATTTTGACAATCACCCGACATCATTCCCGAGTAGGAAGTTACCTCCAAAAAGCTGAGCCGCCCACCGCACTACAAAAAGAACATATGGATGATGAAAAACACTAGTCCCTGGTCTTACGTCCTATCACAATACAAAAGAAGTGTACAGATTAACTGCATGAAAATTTACAAGGTTAGCCCACTGCTTCACAAGTGTCGCAAACAAGTTTTTCTCCATTGTCAAAGTTTTAAGAAAAATAGGCTGAATTCTGAATAGGCTCAATTGCCTTTTCCCTTTGTTTTATTCCATTAAATAACAATCTTACAATCTATTTTAGGCACAAAATAAAGTGCATATAATTTATTTTAGGTAACTTAATAATACATATTCCTAATCTAAATATTCAACTAAAAGGGAAATAAATCAGAATAAAGATGTTGGAAATAAGGAAGCTTCTAATTATAAAAAACTCATAATTTAGCTGCCTAATTTTCATTTTTCCTGATTGAAATCCCCTCTCAAATTGATGTTAACTGATCAAGAAGCATCAATTTGCTAACAAGAAACTAATAACATTGCCGGGACAAAAAATCCTCAAGCAGTGAGTGTCGAAACCTGAAAATGCCGAAGCCCAAGAGTGTCGAAACTAGAGAGTGTCGAAGCCTAAAAATGCCGAAGCCTAAAAATGTCGAAGCACGAAAAGCTGAAACTGGAGAGTGTTGAAGTCCAAGAGTTCCAAAACCTAAAAATGTCGAAGCCCAAAAGTGTCGAAGTCTAAAAATGTTGAAGCCCGAAAGGCCGAAGCCTGAGAGTGCCGAAGTCCAACAGTGCCGAAGCTTAAAAATGCCAAAATCCAAAAATGTCGAAACCCAAGAGGCCGAAATCTGAGTGTGCTGAGAGTGATGATGATCAAGAGTGCCAAAGCCCAAGTGTCGAAGCAATTGGGACAAAGCAGACCGGGACGAAGTAGTCGAAGCCAACGCAAGAGGACGAAGTAGACCAGAACAAAGTGATAGGAGGCAAGGAAGCAAAGAGAAGCGCAAGCCCAGATGGCTCGCAATGAGAAGGCAAAGTCAATGCTCAATCGCTTCATTGCGATGAAGAACGAGAAGAAGCGCAAGCCCAAGGAGCATCACCCATACCTCACCTTGGAGTGCCGACCGATGGGGCAGTGAAATTCTCCGAGAGATTGGTGCCAAGGCGATTGAGATCTAGACCAAGGGCCTCGATGAGCATCTCCTCCGTGATCTCAATAATGAGATCAACAAACTTCTTCAAGAGCGTGTCTACTGGGAGCGCCGTATCGTAGAACTTGGCGAACAAAATTACACGAAGAACACCGCCAAGATGACGGATCTTGATGGTAACATCATCAATGTTCCTAACCCTTCCGGTCGTCTCATTAACACGAAGAAGCCGACGAAGCCGAAGTGGAAAGAAGCAATAATGGCTAGCGAAGGAGATCTAAAGAAATTAAGAGGCGATGAGCAGAAGAACGAACAAGAATCAAGGCATCCTCCTTTCTCGTCTGCAGGCAGGCGGGAAAGGTTTTGACGATCCTCCAATAATTATCGGTGGTTAGGGCAAAAATTTGGCTCTGATACCACGTCAAAGTTTTGAGAAAAATAGGTTGAATTCTGAATAGGCTCAATTGTCTTTTCCCTTTGCTTTCATTCCATTAAATAATAATCTTACAATCTATTTTATGTACAAAATAAAGTGCATATAATTTATTTTAGGTAACTTAATAATACATATTCCTAATCTAAATATTAAGCTAAAAGGGAAATAAGAATAAAGATGTTGTTGGAAATAAAGAAACTTCTAATTATAGAAAACTCCTAATTTAACTGCCTAATTTCCGTTCTTTCTGATTGACACCCTTTATGCTATAAAGAATGCATACACGATTTCTCTTGTCGTGGAGATTGTGACACACTCAGAATTTTATAAGTTTAGAATTGTAACATTTTATTCCTTCACGCACAAAGCATATCGACGATTCAGATGGCAAGGCATGAATTTAGATGAAAAAAGCAAATACACAATTTTTTTTAGATATTTTGCTCTTTTTTTTGTTTCTTTATAGAGAGAGAGAGAGAGAGAGAGAGATAGAGGGGAAAAGGGGTACATAGGAATGGTGATAGTTAGGGGTTTCAAATGGCGGCCACGAGTTTGATGACAAGAGAGTTGTGGAGTTATGAACTTCACGAGTTTTGGCTTATGGTGACTGATAGGAAGGTGGAGCAAGGCGGTTGAGTCGAGTTGCAGTGTGGTTGAGTTGAAAGAAGGGTTTGTGCATTAAGGGGGAGCTGGTGCGTGCAAATGACAGAGAAAGGGTTTCTATGGCGTTCTAGGGCTAGGAGAAGGGTAAGAGCAACAACAAGCTCGCGGTGCGAGCTGCTGTGTGCAAAAAAGCGAGGGGGTAGGGAGATGGGGCTCCTATGAGGGTTGGGTCGCGAGCAGGCATGCTAAAGGAACTTTGGCTGAGTTGGGGGTTGTGAGTGGAGCAAGTAGGTTGTGCGGTTGGAGTTAGAGAAGTATGAGAGAGAAGATCACAAGGCTAGGGAGAGGTAGCAGGAGGGTTGGCATGAGGAAATGGAGGTGGATATAAGTAAGCGGCTTCCTTGCATGGAATCTGTGCGGCTCAGCTGAGGAGAAGCTGAGAGGATAAGTTTAGGTTCTGTGTGAGAAGAAGTGGGTGTGGAAATGGGAGAAGAGATGCGGCGCAGGTGAGTAGAGAGTGTTGGCCAATGAGTTCGGCTAGGTAGTAGATTTAGGTTTTTCTTTATTTTTTTTTAATACAATGAAACATGAACGCGGCTGGGCATGGGTACGAACGGAGCAAGAGGCTACAACAGGAGATCAACACAGAACATGCATGTTCTGATTTTTGAATCGATATTAATAAAAATATTATATGTATATATCATCATTTATTCATAAAATGTTATTTATATAAAGATTTTCACACAAAAAATTGTATGGTTTCATCAACCATTTTGATTTGTGTTGCCACCTTGAGATTTGTGTTGATAGGTTGCGTGTGGGAAAGCAAGACTATATAGATGTCCTCTCTAAGTAATTTTAACAACCTGGACGAGTTTGCTGTCCAATTTGCAAACGAATATTGTTAAAACAATTTTGATGGTCGTTGGGATGAATCAAGCCCGATTCAAGCACATCACATCCTTAGTCATTTTTATTATGATTGCTTGACTTGAACACAAACATCTCAGTCAATTAGTTTTGAAGCACCATAAGTAATTGATGAAGTTCGTTTCACAAATGATATCATTTTGGTAACTTTGACAATGTTGAAAGTGAATCAGTAATGATTGGGGCTGTCAAAAAAGCTCGTTGTTTGTGAACAACTCGTGTTCGGTTCGTCAATAAGTTTGTGTTCGATTTGTTCGATAAATAAACAAGACGAAAGTGAACAATTTTTTTTTCATTAAGTTAGTTAAACGAACTAGACACGAACAGTGAAGCGTTCGTTCATGTTCGAATCGTTATTGTTCGAAATATAAAATAATTTAAAATAATTATATATATAAAATTTATGATATTTTAAAAAATTAAATTTTATAAATTATAATATATAATAAATTAATAATAATATAATATAAATATTATATATTTATATAATATAAGTTATATAATTAATATAATATATTATTTATATATATTAATATTAGGGATGTCAAATTGGCTCGTCGTTCGCGAACAACTCGTGTTCGGCTCGTTCGTTAAAAAACGAACACAAACAGTAACATCACGAACAATTTCGAACACGAACTTATTTCAAACAAACTAAATTTCAAACGAACCGAACATGAACACAAGCTTACTTAATTTGTGCATCATCACATACATAATTTATGTTCACAAGCAGGCTTTCTAAAGCATTTTTGACACCCTTGATTTGATTAATATCATATTTATTGTAAGACATATTCACGTCCAATCAACTTGTCTTGCGGAATACATATGGAGGTTAACATATGAGTGCAACAAAATTACTTCACCAGAAGCTTATAAACTAGAAGCAGTTATTAATAATCAAACAAGGAAAGCATTATAGGTTTTTGTTACATACTGCAAATCTTAGGAGAAGGCATGATTTGCCAACACCAGAGTCTCCAATAAGCAAAAGCTTAAAAAGATAATCACTGCAACATAAACAAATTAAAGTTAATAACTCTATCTTACGATTAATTTTTATAATATAAATCATTTTTACAAATAGTTTTAAGAAAAGATGGCCTGAGAATAGGCTCATTTCCAATACTTGATTTGTTTATACGTGAAGGGGCATCAACCTCAAATATGCATGCATGCAGAAAGCTTCATACCAAAAATAAAAATAACATGCTGGTTCATACATGGAATGTGGTCGAGTTTACTATATCCACGTTCAAAAACCTAGGTGATGGGCTTTAATTCATGTCTGTAGCATGCACATTCAAATGACACACCCCTTTTTAAAAATTAAAAAAAAAAAAAAAAAAAAAAGAATCATTACCCTAAGAAAATAGTCGGTTTCTCAGCAAAATATAAGGATTTACCCAAATAATTTGACATCTAGTTAAAAAACATGCAAACAAATAGGAGGGTTCATTGAAAAAAATTCTATTGCAAATGCTGTGATTTAAAAGCTAAGCTCTCCACTGTATGCTAATAAATTAATACATGTAAGCTCTTGGGTAAAAGACATTAATATATATACATGTGCAAGTGACACTTGAATCAGCCATGATGCCATTAAACAATTTTTTTTTATCAACATACATATGATTATATCATACAATTTTCATAAAGCTTCGCTTTTCTAAATACTATGAAGATTTTGAAATGATGATGCTGCAAAAATTCACATAGTTATAAGCATAATCGCTTGGGTAGTACAATAAAACTCTGGTCAGAATGTTAGCTGTAAAATGTAATGCTTTAACTTAAATTCTTATTTGGTCTATTAAAATGCTCGTTGGATTTTTTTACTTCTTTCACTCCAAGAAAACGTTTAAAAAAAATGGTTCAAACAAGTTAGGTTGTTCGGTAACGCATCCCTCACTTTATTCTCATTTAGAATAAGATCAGACTAAAGTGAAGAGACTTCATATATTGATTCATATGCATCCAATAACAGGAACACAAACAAAGAAAAACTCAAATCCAGACAGACAACTGAGGAAGATGATAATTGGCAAGGTCTGAGAGATTACCTCACCAAGTTTAATTAGAAACAATAATTCTAGAGATCAAGATAAAGAAAATGAAATCCATTGTCTAGTAACATACATGATACAAATATTTATTCACATCAGGAGCGCCTGAATACATATATATATATATATATATATATATATATATATATATAGAGAGAGAGAGAGAGAGAGAGAGATTGCACCACCATTTAAATATTTGTCGAAAAAGTAACATGATGTGGGATAAGATCTAAGAATTATTTTTTTTAAAGCCATTAAAACCAATGAAATCTATCAATCCTTCCAGACACTGATTCAATAAAATGTGTTCAATTTATTTTGAACCCTTTCTCCTAGCATAAAGGATAGTTATTGTTATATGGAGTCGTAAGAAGTCAAGTTATTCATCATTGTCATTAGCATCATCTCAACTATGTAGGGTTGACTTTTTGAATTATCATTTTGAATTCCCTTTTTTTTAGCATTAACTTATTCTTTGCAAATTATTTCAAAAAAACTTCTATGTTACCTTAGGTTTCCTCTATGAGGATGGTGAAACAACTCTGAACAAAAAATAAGCAAAAGGGTGCCAGCAGATACAAGGTATAAATTTATATGTTTTGATAAGATCCTCAGACATCCACAACTGGTTGGAGATCAATATTCCACTAAGATTCAAGAGGAGGACATAAATGATTTCTCGTCATACAAAGTTAGAAAAAAGGATAGAAATGCCACGTTATCTAAGCCAATAAAAAAGAACACCACCACCTGTTATAAATAGAAATGTTGAAAATTAAGAAAAAAAAGGTGTCAATGTAGCTATTACTGCAACTATTATCTTTCCTTCTCTAATGTGAGTCTAAATGACAGCTTCTCCTTATGATGAAATCAAAACTAGCAATACCTACTCAAAGAAGAAGAAGACCACCTTGTGAAAAATACCCAAATAAACTTTCCCTTTATTCTGTTATTTAGCAGCATCTCTCACTTCCTTCCCTCTTCACTTTATATGTTTCTAGTTTTAGAATGTCAAACCTCTACTTCTAAATCTCCCATTAAATCTATCTAAACATTAATAAGGAATTTTCTATGCTTTATTGAGCATGTCCAAAACACCAAAGCCTAATTTCAATTACTTTCACTTCAACAGATTCCACTCAAATTACTATAAACTTTCCTTAAATCATTCTACTTAATTTTGGCTTACATCCATCTTAACAAAATCATTATCATCATACTCAACTTAGATATCAACTTTTTCAATTATAACTCATAAAAATCACCAACCCAATCATGCCTTTATAAAAATTTACCTTAAATATCCAAGATATTCTCTTTTCATAATATTCTTTATGTACTTTATCTATTTTAATCACCCAAATTTAGCTGTAGGATTAATATCCTCACATATATCCCATTCATTTGTATAATAGAAAAAAAACACAATCCTATTTCATTTAAGTAACATTTTATCTTCTCAAAATAAGAATTGAAACTTGTTATACACTCACAAAAAAAACAGAAAAAAAAATTATACATTAAATTTTTGCTCAACTAATTCGAAGCCCATAGGGGGTAAGCATTTTCATTTTTCTCCATTGTTTCAACTTTCACTATTTCAGTGGATGCCTCCTCGATTAGAGTAGCTGTTTGCAATAAGCATAATGTAGTAAGCACCTTCATAATCAATACAAAAGGATATAGATTCCATGTTAATCCCTGATTAAATTCTAACTCAAGAAGTACTTCTACTAATAGTAAGTGCCCCATCATCTATAACATTAATAACTTCAACATGCATTGATCTGACACCTTGAAATTTTATCAAAGATTCTTAAGCATGACGCTGCAGAAAAGTCAGAGAAATGTTTTTGAACAAGTGACAAAATTAGAAGAAAAAACAAAGAAATGAGGAAAAAATCTTCCCAATTGAGAAGAGAACACATATTTCTAGGATTCCATAACATTCACATAGTATGCACTAAGAACAATTTCCAAGGGTCGTAATCACACAATTAGTTAAGCAGATAATCACATTGCAGTGAAGGTTAACTAAAAGTATTATGGATAGCACTAGCCTAGAAAAGGAATTGAAAGCCAAAACGAGACCAAATTGATGAATGAACCAATCGATCATTCATTGAGAATACGTTCTCTGATGCGTAATAAAAGTATAAGAAATAAGGGCCTAGTTCTTCCACCTTAAGTGTTCCAAATCCTGTTCATAAAGTATTATCCATCTTTAAATGATGCAAGCTATCAATGAAGCCACACTAATTTAAGGAAAACCTTGCGAACAATCCGACACAGACAAAACATCCCAATCCACACCCAAATCGCAGAGAAACCATACATAAGAACCAAAAAGTTTCCTCAATAACCACAACTGTCGACATGACTTCCTTCTATTCCTACAAGAAAAGGAAAATAAAAGCAAAGAAGATATCCATTATATACAGCAACGGGCAAACCAAACAAATCGTGAATTGAAATCCAACCAAGCCACGTAACCACAAGCGTAACCCGCAACACCATAGCCACCCCAGATCTAAAACCACAGAACCGGATCTCCACAAACAATTTCAAAAAAATCATGATCAAAACCCGATCAAACTTGTAACCAACAATCCAAAATCACCAAATGAAATTCAAAACTAAATCATTCATTCATCATAAATGGAAGTTCCCATAAGATCTAAATGCGCCGCTCGGGACAACGATCTGATCCTACTTACATCCACAAACCCTCGACAAATTAGGGAAAAACCAGAGAATTGAGTCTAGTACTTACTACTCTTGATTCATGATGACAAATCGAAGGAACTGCTCCTTGCTTATTTAGCCCTCTTCGCTGAGATTTTCGAGAACGCGAGCTTTCCCTAGAACAGAAATCCGATCAAAAGTCACTTTAATCGACGGGAGAGGAAGAGAGAGAGACAGAGGCAGCGGTCCGGAGAATGGGAAACGATCCGAGTTGAAATGGCCAACCGACGTGGTAGAAAGAAGGTCTACTCAGAGACGAAATATATATATATATATACTATAAATTTAAAAATAATATTATTAATCATTTAAATTAAATAAATTAAATAATAATAATTAATATTTGTACGATGAAAAAATAATAATATTTAAGCATAAATAACTATCATATATATTATAAAACTATATTAAAGATAATAATATTTAATAAAAATTAAACATGAATAATTTTTAGAATATTACATGCAAAAATTGATATATATTATTTGGTACAGCTTGAATCATTAAAATTTAACACTTTATTAAATTTAAATTTAATTTTTAAGATTGTAAATGTTGTTATATTGTTTGAATTTTTCTTTTAATTGGTTATGATAAAGTGGTGTCGGATAAATGTCCGACATGTGTCACATACATATACTACATGACTATTTATAATGAAATGAATATGCCAACCTAAAATTTGGTATTTACATTCTCATTTATTTACATATTTAACATTTAAATTTTTATATTTATGGATATAACATTCAAATTTGAACATTACATTAAAAAATATCACTACTGTTTTCTTAAAAATTAACAAATTTATAAAATCAAAATGTAAAAGATGTAAGTATCAAACTTTTGTTTTTAGACGTGCAATACATAAAAATTGTGCGGTATGTATGTAATTTCCCAATTTATAAAGTTATACTAATAAATACTATAAAATATAATATGTGTAATAATATTAAAAAAAAACTAAACACTTCATCCACGGAAATTAGATCAGTTCATTGTTTTAATATCACAATCATTCTTATAATTTAAGATTTATTTAGGATATCAAAATATTCAATGCTTTTTAAGGAGCCTTCAAAGTAGGTCCATTTATTGCTATAGATTTTAATATAACGGGCATTTAGATGCATACCACCAAAGTTTTATGTATTTACATATCTAACATTAAAATTTTATTTTTTTATATTTTTACCGCCAATCATTCATATCACATAAAAATAATATTATTTTTAACTAAAAAAAATGCAATACATTTTTTTTTCATGCAGAGGCAAGATGTCATGTATATAAAAATTACAATTTAGGTGTTAAATATTTAAATTCGTAGGATAGGATTGAGTGGTATGTATGCAAGTCTCCCAAAATATGAATCAGTTTGTACAGTCGATATTGACCAAAGGAGTGCGTATAAAATAAATATAAAGTGATAATTTTGCATGAAAGGTACGACGAATTATTAGAAACAAACTATGGACATGACTTTATCATTTTATATGTGTGGATGCCCAAACAGATGCGAGGACATAAATGACATAACTATGTAACTTCAGGCAAATGCAGAGCGATATTCTATTGCATGCTCCGGATGTGGCGCCCCGACCCTTGGGACACGAGCGCTCAACGCTTCGGTGCCAGGAGGGGGTCCGCACCCAATTTGAGTCCATGTACAGTTCTAGAAATATAGTTGTCGACACTCTAGCGCCCGAAGAATTGTATATGATACAATCACAAAGATGTGAAGTTCCTTCAAAAGAATACATGGTTTGTAGACATAAAAAGATGTTTTATTGACAGATTTATATTAGACTGTGTGCACACAAAGTGTTAGAAAAATCATTACCACTTCATTAAACTTTTTTATAATTGTTATATTATGCTTATTTTATATATGGATGATATGTTGATTGCAGGAGCATATATGGAGAAGAACAATGACTTGAATGAGCAATTCTTAGATAGAGTTTGAAATGAAAAATTTAGGTCTAACAAAAAAATATCTTAGCAATGGAATTAGTAGGGACAGGAGTGTAAGTAAATCGAAGTTGTCTTAGAAGGTTTTGCACATATTCAATATGAGTAGAGCAAAATCAGTTTGCACCTCCTTATGTGATCACTTTAAACCATCTACGGGAGAATTGTCCAAGACTAAAGTGGAACAAACACAGATGAAAAGAACTATGTATATTTCAACAATTTGAAGTTTGATATATGTGGTGATATGTGCATAATCATATATTGCTTATGCAGTGGAAGCAGTCAGCATATACATGGGCAATCCGAGAAACATCATTGGGAGGCGATGAAGTAGATTCTCATATGCTTGAGATGAATAGTCAGCAAGGCACTTTACTTTTAAAATGCAGGAAGGGATAAATAGATTCAAATATGACATGAGATATTGATGGTAGAAGAAGTACAACATGTTATATCTTCACTTTGGGAGAACACAACAGTGAGTTGGGATAGAGAGATTCGAGTGTTGTATAATTTGTACAATTCTCATTTTCATAATAGATATTTTGGTGTAGTATGACTCCATAATTTTTTTTTTCTCATTCTCACATTTTTCCATGTTAAATCATGATGCTCTTTGAATTTTATGTAATTTCTTATTTTGTGCACTTCAATTCAAAATTTTACTTTGATTTTCTCGAATCAATATTGTTGTCTCTTCCCCAACATGAAACATGAACTTATGGTTATAAAACTATTAAAAGAAAAAAATATAATTTTTAGGACTTTATAAAATGTTTTTAAAACTATAAATGGTCATAAAACTATTAAAAGAAAATTTTGAGCCAAACAAACCCTTTCATGTGTGCTCGAACGAATAGCACATTAGTACATTAGTTGGGAACTATGTGAAAAATCTCAGTTGACTCGTTCAAACCCATATCTGCCTGAAAAAAAAAAAAAAAAAAAAGAAGGGGGTTTTTTTGACGATCTTACCAACGAAGCATAACAAAGTTCTCTTTTTTTAAGTACTAGAAAGGTTTCAAGTGCTTTATATGTACCCCCGCAGAACTAATCCTTGATGTGCACCTAATAATCTCCAAGAGGATACACCAAGACTCAAGTCAGGAATAAGCACAACAAAAACAAAATCTTTGCAATCTAAACCTATATGTTTGCATCTATAACAAATTGCTAGTTCGCAAATACATACAAAACAGGTTTAATCAGGTAGAAGCTACAGGCTCCAGGAATTCACACTCGAAGTTTGTATGCTCTAAAAATGGCGCTAACCTCACAAACCAAGGAATCACAATATTGTTCCTGAATCCACACACCACCGGATTATCCCACTGTAACAACGAGCCGACCAAATTAGCCCGAGCAGTAAGCAGAAACATTCGACCCCACCGCTCCTCGCCGAAAGATCTGAGAGCCGCTTCGACCGATTCATCATTGCCTCTCTTTAATGCCGCAGCGAGTTTTCCTGCAAGAACGACCGAGTCTTCTAAGGCACAGCATGCACCTTGTCCGAGATTAGGCGTCATCGGATGCCAAGCATCACCGACGACCACCACCTTATTTGCCACCGCCGGCGGGCTAAAGCAGGGCCAAAGCCATCGGTCTACTAAAGGTGTCTTGATCACAACATCATCTGGTGTGTTGTGCAGGACATCTAACAGATCTGAAGGCCAGTTTCTCAAAAGCTCGAGAGCTTGATTTTTAAGAATGCTTGGATCATCAACTCTTGGACCTGTTTTGATACAGATTAACAGTGATGAAAGCTGGGTTTGTTAATAGGAAGATTTACATAGATGCCACTTAATTCCTATGTATTTACGTATCTAACGCCTAAACTTTATTTTTTAGATAGACGCCACATTTATCTATGTATGAAAAGGTGTATTTTACCTTTTTAAAGTTAAAATAATGATATTTTTTTATGTGATATAAAAGATTTAGATGATATAAATATAAAAAATAAATTTTTGGTAAGTATCAGATATCAATCAGCAGTGTAACAGGAATGTTCTCCAATAAAAATCATAATAACAGAGGTGTTTTCTTGTAGTTTAATAAAAACCTAAATCTGGCAATAATTTATTGCTCTCTAATGTGTACCGAAAAAAAAAAAATAGCAGAGATTAAAAATAGGACGGAATGCCATGATCTAAAAGTGGGAGGATTAGACATCAAGATTAGGAGCATGCACACTCCATTTTGTTAAAATACATACATGAATCAAGGTTAAAACTAATTTTTTTATTATTTAAAATATGGTTTATAAAATTCAAAAGATGGAAATCATGCGGTAGATCAGCTAAAATAGCGTAACAATCCGTTATAGGTTTACTATTATCTGTCATTGAAATGTCAAGCATCTGTTGAATGGTGATGGCACTTCTGGGTTAAATCCAACGGCATGGTTTCTAAGGACCACCTTAGTGATTTGGCGTGCATGAAAGCAAAATTTGACCATAAAAACAATTTTTAAAAGATGGCGATTGATATTTAAAAAAAAAAAAAACAAATAATGGTGAAAAGCATGCAAGTTCATCGAACTAGAGACTAAATTGCAAGAAAACAAAGAAAAATGTTTAGAAAAAAAGGGCCAACCTATTATTAGAATATATTTTCAAGAGAAATATGATGAGAAAAGCACACCCCAAATACTATCAATACTTGAAGTTAGGCTCTCCACTAACGAACTTGCATGCTAGCCTTCGTACTTCGGCCTTATTCTATTGAAATGAGAGAGATCCTTCTTGCCCTTGATGGAATCCATTAGGATAGTCTAAGGTGGTGTTTGGTTGCCTCCCTGATTTACGGCAAGTAGGATTTAGGGGTTTATCAAACTCACATTTTGACGGAGGAATGCTCGCAAACCTACTCCCTCAAATCCATATGTGAATCAGATCTAATAAATCCGGATTTACGTCAAAAATTAGAAGGAACCAACGAATATTCGATTTTAACCTAGCGTGGGATTTAAGTTTCATATTTTTAGTGTTTGGTTGGATTTACATTAAATCTATGACTAAATCCAACTTAAAATATGCTACCAAACACCCCCTAAGACTTTTAACCTACATTTTGATATTATTTTTATAGAGCATCATGAGGCCGCACATATGAAGCTAGATAAAATGTGAATTTGATGTTGAGTTTGATAGCCATCAACTTGAAAATTACAATCACATTTTTTCAAAATATTGTCGAAGACTTTTATAAGAGAAATATGCGGAAAGAATGTCACGCACATCTTAATAAATTTTTTACTTGAGAATAATTTTTTATGAGTTTTCATAAAATAGAATAATCTCTACACAGGACCTCTTCTCAATCAATTAATAATAAACATGTTAGTCTTTAAAACAACCTCTGCTTTGTTAACATACTCCTCGATTCCAATATACCATTTACCTAACAGCACCATCCTGTTCTTTGGAATCTCTCACTTGACAAGAAATTATCCCATGTGACACCTCCATAATCCTCAACACGTGACTTTGTAGCTCCCACATTTCATGTCATATACAAGAAGCCATTTTTGTTTTTCCATGCTATTACTACTAGCACCCTTGGCCACGTTCTAAGGATCACTGCAAAAGTTTGTGACAAGTCGTTCACCACAAAGCTAATTAAGATCAAGTTCATCTTCAAACTAGGAATGTACCACATTTTAAAAAGCACTCGTAGTTCCATTACCATACTCATATGCACATGACCAATTCATATGAAACCTAAGAATTCACCATCAATTAGATAAATTTTCTAGTAAGCTCTTACATATTAGTCAAGCCATAAACACTTTGTATTGGGTATAGTGAAAAGATGCACCTAAGACCTTGTTTGATGGAGCGGCTCAGCCCCATTCCATTTGGAGAGAAGACAAAATGCAGGTCTTCAATTTGGTGAAGAAGCATTGTTGGAAGCTCGTGGAACGAAACGTCGTCTACTCGACGTTTCACATCGCAACTATTTTTTGTTCTTTTTAATGGAACTCAGAGTCGCCGGCTTATCTATTTATACGTCATTGTATGATTCTCTTTTTCAAATAAATCTCCCTCTCAGATCATAAAAACGATCCAAAAAAGAGAGGAATCGAAAAGAATTACAAAATAGACAAACAAATTTTAAAAACAAATATGGAAAACATATAAGTTAATCCTCGTGTGATACGCCGACAATATAAATTCAAACATTATCAGATCAAAATATCTTGAAACACGATATCCACCAATAAAATCCCTACATAAGTCATCCATAACCAGAGAACCAAAAAGAATATTTTTGCTCTAAAGTCAAGAAAACTCTCAAAAAAACGTATTGTTTTAGTTAATTACAACTTAAGGATACAAAAAAATACTCTAGATAAAATGTGTTTTGCTTACATTATCATGATAATTGGTGAATAGATCACCAAAAGGATGGTTATTTTGATCAGGAGCATCTCACCAACTAGGAAGCTTATACTGAGCCACATGGGAGAGGTTGAATCCCTCATATTCACAAATGGACGACGACACGCCAATAAACAAGGCCTAGGAAATAACCAAGTCGACTTTACATGAACATCTCTATGCTTCAAGGCCTAACCGGATCATAAGAGCAGATAATTAATCACTACATCCCAAACGAGCGACGACCTATCACAATAAGGGTTGTTAAGACGACATCAACGAAATCACAAAGAACTAATGAGCTCAAAGAGTTTTAACAAAGAAGAAGTAGAATACTTAAACAGGTAGAGGTAATCAGGTTAGTATATCATGAATCCGCCGTCTCAAGCTACGAAAATCTTAAGTCAACTTGGTCGAGAAGATAGTCGACCCAACCCGACCAGAGATCCCTCTTCAACAATCCATGAATTGTGTCATCTAAGGAGAGCTCGGTAGCGCTAAGGCCAAAAAAATGAAACTCTTTCCTATGACCCTGTGTAAGTAGAGCTCAAAGATATGAGACTTATACCTGCTAAATAAATGACAAGGTAGTCATCGAAAAGAAGAGAAAAGAGAGGTCCAGCTACAATGCTGAAAACAATCACACAAAGAATTTATACCTCAGGGAAGCCTAACAACCTAAGCATGCTAAACAACAACCTAAGTAGAAATCTATCCGGGATTTCTCCTCATAACATGCAGAATAATGCAATTATCTAAAATCCCAACCATGGAAGCCCTATTACATATGACTAGGGATAAATTCATGCATGCAGACCATCTTAAAACTGGCCCGAAAGTCGTGCAGAAAATAAAGTGCAGGCTTTAAATAATTGAAATATTTTAATCATAAAATATAATTAATCTTAATCTTTTATTATTAATATTTTTAAAAAAAAAATTAGATCCTTAAAGAACCTAAATTATACTTCGCAGGATTTCCACACAAGCCACAATCAAAGAAAGCGAAAATAAGAACACCCTACGCAAAGCAAATCAAGCCAAATATAAATAAATAACAGTGGTCAGATGTCGTTGGGTCGACAACATATCCCAGAAAGCAAAAATATGATCAGACTTTGCATATATATATGTCTGGTCCTAATATTATACATCAAAGTAAAAATCTAGAATTAAGGTACGAGACACGAGCTAATTGCTCTTGGTCCCCTCCACGTGGTTTCTGTGTCAAGCACATTGAAACACGAGCTCGTACCTTATTTCTAGTACAGACTCCCCTAAAAACTTTAAAAGTTACATAATAAAGTCTAAGAAAAGACTCGACCTGCACAAAAATCAAGTTAGCACAAAAGCTACCTATATGCGATGTGGTGAATCATGTCCGGTGGGAAAAGAGCTTAACGACACGTGGAGAAAGATGCTAGCATAAATCATTACAACTCCTTCCTGTTGGACATGACTCCCTAAATACCATTAAATAAGTAAAAATAGTTGTTTAGTAGATTGATTTGTATAGCAATTAAGTATGATATAACCTAAATCCTACTAAACAACTAAAAATGACAACTTTAAAACTTACATAAACTTAATATCTAAGAATTTATATAACATATACTATACAAGCTATCATCGAGCTACCAAAAAATGAGTTAATATTCTGTTGATTAAATTTTATTTAAATATTATATCATATATGATACGAGCTAAAATCGAACTTAATATCAAGTACTTAACAAGTTACTTGTTGAACAGCAAACGAGTTTGTTTGTGAACATAAATAAACAAGTTCGACTATATTCATGTTTAGTTTATTTTAAGTTTCGAGCTTTTAAAAATTGTTCAAGCTTGTTTATTTACTAATTTGAACGAACATGATTGAGTTTTAATCGAGTCGAGTTCGAGTTGTCCATCAAGTGCATTAGTTCATTTACAGGCCTACACACACCTCCTTTTTCACCAAGGAAATCAGATGGTTGAAGAAGAAAGTGAGAAAGGAGAAGAAGATAAGGAAAAGGAAAGAAATGGGGGAAGAAGGGCTAGAAAACTCTCAAGCACGCCAAAAAAAAAACATCACTGCTCTCCACACAATGCTCTCTCACACACTCAAAGAAATGGTGGAAGAGGAAGAAGAATATGAAGAAGAGAAGTTAGTGGAGGAAGAAGATGAAGTTGGGGCTGAAGATGAGGAGGAAGAAGAAGCTTCTCATCTTTTCTTCACCTACTCAAAAACTCTTCTCCCAAGCTTCTCTCCACCAGGGCCCAAGAGAAAAACCAGCTCTTTTCTCCTCTTTCCACCAAAAATGGCTGCTCTTCTCTTCTCTAACCTCCTTCCAAGTGTCCAAGAAAGTCC